TAGTAATAGCAGTAGCAATAGCAATAGCAATAGTAATAATAATAGTAGCAGTAATAATAATTAATAGTAATAGTAATTAATAGTAATAGTAATTAATAGTAATAGTAACAGCAATCATAATCGTAATCGTAGCTGTAATCGCAACCGTAATTGTACTCGCAACCGTAATCGCAATCGTAATCGCAATGGTAATCATAATCGCAATCGTAATAGTAAGACTAAAAGATAAAAGAAACATTAATAGTAATAGTAATCGTAATGGTACAAAGTAATCGTAATCCTAATCGTAATAGTACTAGTACTAGTACTAGTACCAGTACTAGTAAGAGTAATAGTAAAAGTAATAGTAATAGTAATCGTAATAGTAACCGTAACCGTAGTCGTAATCGCAATAGTAGTATAGGCGATAGTAATAGCAATATTATTAAAACTATGTGAAATTTCGGCCTTAGCAGATAGTATTTCAAATTAGCGCCTTATTAGGGACCATTTCAAATTAGAGCCCTATTAGAGACTATGTCAAATTAGGGCCTTTTTAGAGACCATTTCAAATTAGGCCTTATTAAAGACTATTTCAAATTAGGGCCTTATCAGATACTATTCCAAATTAGCGCCTTATTAGGGACTATTTCAAATTAGAGCCCTATTAGGGACTATGTCAAATTAGGGCCTTATTAGAGACCATTTCAAATTAGGCCTTATTAAAGACTATTTCAAATTAAGGCCTTATCAGATACTATTTCAAATTAGCGCCTTATTAGGGACCATTTCAAATTAGAGCCCTATTAGAGACTATGTCAAATTAGGGTCTTATTAGGGACTATTTCAAATTAAGGCCTTATTAAAGACTACTTCAAATTAGGGCCTTATCAGATACTATTCCAAATTAGCGCCTTATTGGGGACTATTTCAAATTAGAGCCCTATTAGAGACTATGTCAAATTAGGGCCTTATTAGGGACTATTTCAACTTAGGGCCTTATTAAAGACTATCTTAAATTTAGGGCCTTAGTATAACGTATTTCAAATTCGGGCCTTATCAGATACTGTTTTAAATTAGGGCCTTACTAAATATACTATTTGAAATTAGGGCCCATTTCAAATTAGCGCCTTATTAGGGACTATTTCAAATTACGGCCTTATTAGATACTATTTCAAATTAGGGCCCTATTACATACAATTTCACATTAGGGCCTTATCAGATCCTATTTCAAATTAAGGCCTTATTCAAGACTATTTCGAATTAGGGCCTTATTAGATACAATTTCAAATTCAGGCCTTATTAGATACTATTTGAAATTCGGGCGTGGGATTTTATAAATGTGGGGGTTTTATTAATGTGGATTCCGGGGCTCCGTATACTACCCCCTTTGATGGATTGATTTTGGGTTGATTTTATAAGGTTTTGTAATAAGAAATCTATGCCTTTTTTTTCAGCAACAGTCTGGAAGTTCCAAGCTTCCAGACATTTGGAACCTTAGATGGAATCCTTGCAGGCGAGAAACAAGCTTCTCTACATAATCTTTTTCCGGCCAGCATCAAAACAGAGCTTCTGCAGCAAGCAAACTCTAAATTCAGCCTCTTAAACTTGCTAGGTGCACCTTGCCAAGAGTAGTTCCAAAGTAAGCAAGTTTTAAAACGGATCCCTTAAAACCTCCAAGTTCAAGCAACTCTGAACTTCTATCCCTAA